CTAAGTCCTATAAAACGAACCGAATCCCGAATGGTAAGCAATAAATCGATAAAGGCAAGAAAGACAATATGTGAAGCTTTGTGCAAAAAAGATATCATATATATTAATCGGCTCTACTGGCCGGAAAGTACAGGGGTGATGTGCAAAAAAGGATAAGGGGAAAAATATTACAAGTTACTAAAAATCTAATCTATTCATGAGCAGCCTCTTTATCCCCTTCCTTTTCATCATCGTCATCATCATCTGAATCAGTGGGAGGTTCGGGATCTTTCCCTACTTCTCGATCGGCAGCCCGTTGTAGGTCTCGCTGATACTTCTCGAATTAGGCTTCAACGATCGGGACCAAGGGAAGATCAGCAAGCTCGACCGGCCTTCCCAGCGTTTCTTGGAGCTTGGCCACGAAGGGGATCAAGACACGCTGACAGCCCATGACATAGAGCGATCGAGCCAGGGAATCATTGAATTTCTTACCCCTTGGATCCCGATCGAGCAGCTTTACCCCTTCTGTACGCCGAGCGTCACTCTTGGGGAATTGGTCGAGAAAGGCGCCAAAAGTAGACGGGAGCTCCTGTTGCGCATATTCCCGTTTTAAGGCAGCGAACTCCTCAGAAGATTTAAATGTTTCCCGAACGGAAGACAGATCCACGTCAATTTCAGCCAGACCGTCAGGGATGCGGGGGACCGTCTCTACAAACTTGACCTGGACGGCTTCAGCTGCAGAAACCTTAGCCTGGGCAGTGGTCAGCTGAACCCGAAGCCCCCCCATTTCGTTCTCAAACTTCTGCCTCTCCTCGGCAAAGGATTTCCGTTCGGCCTCCAACTTTGCAAGGGCAGCAGAAGCATTCTGTTCAGCAGAAGTCTGGACAACAATCAGCTCCCGCTCTTTGGCCACCCGGGCATCCCTCAGTTGCAGGCTATAGAGCCCAACCTACAGAATGTCGTTCGAGAAATAAGGCAATGAAGTTTGAGAGCAAAGATTAACATATATAACAAGTTATTGCAATAGTGAAAAGTAAAGTACCTTCAGGGCCGCTAAGGCCAAGCATTCCTCAGACTGCTCGACCGGCAGCTTGGGAACAGTGAAGTTGTTGAAAAATGCGGAGGTAGACCAGATCTGACTTGCCGAGCATCCAGCCTTCTCTACAACTTCTTGAACCGGATCTGCCAATGAGATCCGGTCGACCTAGCCAGATAGATGGACGGTATGCATATCACCCGTACCCTGACCAGTCTCCTGAGCAGCCTGGAAATGCTCAGGGAATTTATGCAACTGATCAGATCCGAACCGATCGTCGACCAGCATGGCGTCAAATGGATCCTGATGAAGGACCTGTTGCAGCGGCTGTGGCTCCGGAACGGGTTGAGAAGACCCGACATCCTGAGCGATGATAGTATGAGTGGGTTGGGGGTTCTTCCTGGCTTTCTTCCGTTTCCCGACCCCACCGTCTCCCAGAACACGGCTGTTGTCCATTGGTGCGTCTGGATTGGAAGCTAAAAAATAAAAAAGGAAAATGTTAGTACCGAGCGGCCTTATCACGTGGGAAACAAAAAAGAAGAGAACGTTTCTCGACAGGAAGGACCGCCCGGACCATGGCACTTGATTCTCAAAACTAGTAAACCCAAGAGAATGGGCAGTACCTATCCCGGCTTCGATAAGCCGATCGGGAGTCAAGTAACTCATGATGTCACAACATTTATCCTTCTCCACAGCAAGCACATCCTTGTAAATTTCCTCAGTAAGGACTGGATCGGGAGATTTGCGAGGGAAGGCATTACATTTGCGGGGGATCAGGCCGTCCGGGACAGACACAAAGAAGAACCGGTCTTTCCACCCCTTGATTGAAGTCGGATTGCCCTTAAACAGAATATGTCCCGTTCAGGCACTAGTAGCCAGATATCCATGTGTTTTTTTTTGGGGGGGGGGGGGGGGCACTTTAAAAAATTGGTGAAATAAGTCTAGGGTCGGCGGGGCACCGACATCTTTACAATGGCAAATAAAGCCCGCCATTGCCTGATAGGAGTTTGGCATGACTTGGGCCGGTACAATTTCGTAGAAATTAAAAAATGAAACGAAAAAGGAATGCAATGGAAACCTAAGCCCGACCCTAACTGAATCGAAGTGGACTACAACCATCCCAGGGGTATGGCGCATTGGGTGAAGCCCAGCTCACAATCGGAAATCCACTGGGTCTGGGATTAGGGCCGGAATTTCGGCCCTGTTGTGAGAAGTTAGTTTTTGCCGCCTCTCCCTAATCAGTCTTAGGCCAAGCGTGTGACGAGGGAAATCATTGGGACGTCCGACCGCCATGGAAGCCAGTTCATCATCAGACCTGGTGTCATCGGAATCTTCACTGGAGGAAGAAGAACTGCCGAAGAATTCCTCCGTCTCTGCCCTAATCTCCCGTCGCCGCCGCATTGGAGCCCTCAACAAAAGGGACGGTGATAATCTCCACATCATGGTCTTCCCCTTCGGAAGCCATTTCCGAATCGGAACACAGTCGAGAACTCATAATGATGGGATCAAAGAAAAGAGAGATTTAAAGGGATGAGAAGTACCTGGACACGAAAAGCTTGAAGGGATTGAGAGAAAAGGCAGAGTTCAGGCACGAAGAGATTGAAAATTTGAAACCCGGATTTGAGGAGCTAAAGGCTAATTTATAGCCTTACAAACGCCGTATCAAAGACCAATCAAATAGAGACATGTCACTGGAACTATTTGAAATAACACGCGTCACATGGAAGAGCAAAGATCAACAATCATGACGAATATGGGAAAACTCAAACGACAACCGTCAAATCACAGTATGGGGAACTGACCACTTCTGTACCCCAATTGCCAATCGGCATTTATATTATGGCACTTATACTTCCTAATGCACTCACTGTCATTCGAGACATCGGAAGTGGGGGACTCGTGTTGGGATATTGGCCTGGAAGCCCAATACCCGGATTAAAGGCCCAGGATATCCAGCCCAAACAACGAGCCCACTACCATATTCATACCGAACGAGGTTCGGGCCAAGTAAAGGCTGGCCCAGAAAACAGACATACCGAACGGGGTTAGGGTCATACATCATACTTGGGTCAAATCAACAATGTTTTACAGGGCCCATTATCCCGTTCGGGCAACGGACAACCAGCAGGTGGCCAGGTGCAATTAATGCCAGATTGTGACCTCATCAAGCGGAGGCATGGGTGATCAAGTTGGTGGAACATCGGCCAATCAGCATAAAACGTCCCATACTCTCCATTAGTATAAATAAAAGGTTTAATATCATTGTAAGGGTTAACATTTTAATACTCAAGCCCTAGAATAGCCTTATTAATCTTGTTTCTTGTATTAAGCATCAATCCGACGTACCGTTCGGGTAATTTCATTGTAATCAAACAGGTCAATTAATACAAGTGGGTTTTTGAGCATTCGATTATCGATCTTTTATATTTCTTTTACATACCGAATTATTGTTCATTTCCTGATATATCCAAAGTCTGTGTTGGGCTTTCGGATCTACGGGATTAAACCTCAACAAACTCATAAAATATAATATTCCCCCCGTCTCATAAAACTTAACAAGTTGACTTCCACGTAAAATAGTAAAGTAAAAACCGTGTGTCTGATATTTGTGCTGAAGAGCTACCTTAGTCACATATTTATTAAACTAAATGGAAATGAGAAATCTTTGTTAGACAACATAAAGAGAAAGTTTGGTTAAATTTTATGGGACAGAATATATCAAACTAATAAATGATTAGTCCTTAACAAACAAATACGGAGTAACATTTAACATAAAATTGAAAATAAAAATTTATCAAAAACAAAATTTCTTACTAATATTATTTAGTTTTATTTACGCATGGAAATATGAAATAATGACAACGCACAAATACATGTGTGAGCACATGTAATTGGAGTTCCTATTGAAATCAATAACCCTTTAGAATTAGTTATGAAGGCACTCTTATGACAAAGAGCATCTCCAATGCTCTTAGTCAGGTGAAGTGGCAAAAATTTGATCTAGGTCTATTTAAAAAAGTGGGTCCAGTATTGATAAAAATAGATGGTCAATTAAATGAGACCTCCAATGCGGATGAACTAAATCAAATGCAAAGCAAAAGAAAACAAACAGAAAAGTAAATGTAGACCCATTTTTTGTGTGAGGAGGTTGCACCGAAGGTCTATATGTGGACCTTGTGCTGGACTGCGTTCCACATGATTAAATGCCACATCAGCTCAATCTTGTCTATTTTATTTTGCATTGGAATAGACATTTCTCTTTAAGGTCTGCATTTGCTGAGGTGGAAGCACAATTCACCTCAGCATTGGAGATGACCAAATAAACATACAAATGAATAACTTACATAATCAAAAACTTACTAGGAGAAGGTTTCAGCTTATGACAATTATTTTCTGTGACACATTAAATTATGTAGAGCTCTAAATATATAAGACTGAAATCATTATTTTAAAATAAGATTGATATTAATTTGCGGGGAAAATCGATCCTTTTCATTTAATTTTTCTGCACTTTTTATTAATAAAATGAATATTATCAACGGATTACATTGACTTGGTCGATAGTGATTTATAAATAACTTAGAAGGAAAGGTCTATAATTATCTTTAAATTAATACGGAGTATGAAATTGTATCAATTGAATATACAACAATCATAACAACAATAATTATTTTGATCAATTACTTGAGCAGAAACTAATAATAACAATGAACGACACTACAAATCACCAAGCTATTTGTCTGTAATGGACGAAAGACCCTGCTGCATATCAAAGTAATCAAACTATCAAAGCATGAGTGTGCAACAAAGTGAAATTATGGCATTGTTTTGGTTGTTTGTGCTTCTAAAAAATAATTATTCTGGATCATAGAGAAAATGTTTGAAGATAAAAGTTGGTGATGATTGGAAAACAAACGTGATTTTAGAGAAAAGGTTAAAATTTAATTGTTTGGCAAAAAAGCAATTCTAGTGTACGTAAAATTTGGGAGAAACCAATTCTATATCAAAAGTGGCTACAATAAGGACACCACTCAAAGAAATATTTAAAAGGGTTATTCTTGTTGTACACAAAATTTGTACACGGATTGTACATTGTCTATTGTCTGTGTATACACGCAATGGGCAGACAATCACTGATTTTTTTAAACAAAGTGTCTGTGTAAATAGGCAAATAGGATGTGTGTACAATTTGTGTACTAATTTTGTGTATAAATGTAATTTTCCTATTAAAACATTTAAAAGCATTGATTTATCCATTCAAATGTAAAAACTTGAAATGCATCTCCAGATGGTCAAGTCAGGTTGACAACTACGGAGTATAATGTTACAAGTTTAAACCAGCAATCACAACCGTAAAGAGCATCAACTGGTCTCTTCAATAACAGTGCATCATCATCGGCCTTTCGCCTTGACAAACTTAGTTCTTGAAGCCTTTCTTTCCATCTTCTCTCTCTTTTTCTGAGTCTTCTCATCTTCTTCTGCATTCTGCGAAACCATTAGCAACCCCCATAGAAAATCAAGAGCAAATGGTAAGATACTACCCATGATAACCAAACAGGGTTTGATAGATATGTACCTCAGAACCACTTGACAAAAATCCTTTCAGGAATCCAGATGATTTGTATACTGCAAATCCTGGTATCTGGCAATCAAAACCATGATTCCATGACCCAAATCTTCATATACAAAACATAAAATCCATGCACATTCACATGCACTCATGCAGGTACCACTCATCAGCATCAAAAGGAAAAGTTGACCAGTAGATTACGGCACTTGCATTCATTAAGAAAGCCACTAAAAAATGTGTAGCACATTCACTTGCATAAGAAAACCACTATGGCTCTATCTCTGACAACCTTTTAAAGGTTGGCGAGTTTGTACTAGTTTAAAAGCTACGCGTGAGAAAAAGTACAAACTTAAGCTTACTAACTACATGCTTTATTAACAATGACACTGTAATGAAGCTGATGTTTGTTAGGAAGGGGAAAAAAGAAAATGTGAAGCTTACCACTAGGTATGTGTACCAAAACTTGCCCGACAAGATAGATGCAAGTTGAACAAAACAGGTGATATAGATTACATCATGCAAGTATCTGCAAGAATAAACCAAATGTAAGCCAATTCCATTTAACGACATTCAAAAACAAACATAAATTACTTCTTTCATCATTGTGCTTTGGAAGACAAGTTGTTGGGATAACACTTTTCATAGGGATAAGGCAGTTAATAATAAGTTTCTTCTGAATCAACAAGACAATAACAAAGTAGTTTTTTGCTATAACAAATCAAATTACAATTGGACTTAAAACAGAAACAAAACCATAAAATAGAGCTCGTAACAAACGATATCATACGGAAGGCAAAAAAGGGCACCATAATCAATCTACCAAAAATAACATAGTAATTACTTTACTTGAAACTAAACAATATCTTGTTTTTTTATTATCATATCATACGCGAATATATGATACAAGATATTGAGACTCAAATCTCAATCTAGAAGCTCAAGCAGATAGGAAAGCAACCCAAAATATATATCTTTATATTAGGCCGACGTGGATGACTTAACACAAATCAACTAGAAACCATCTGAATACCTAATTAAAGGAATGCTACTTAATATATATAAACAAATACAAAGGTACCCGCAAACTCCTCCAGTACTCATATCATATCCTCCGTCAAGGAGTTCGCCATCAGAGCCGTAACTAGGCTTAGCCATGGTGGTCAACTGTTGGTAAGGCAAAAAGTAGGCTATAGAAGTGAATAGTAGCCCAACCCCGTGCATCCATGACAAACTAGAGTAGAAAATCCCAAATCTCACCAACAGATAAACAACCTATATAAGCATACGAAAATAGATAGTCGGTTAACACTTAACAAATAAAAAGAAAAAACTAAATAATAATTTTCGCAACTATTTAATTGTACAAATTATAAGAATAAGTGTCTACATTACAAAAAAGGATTGTGTGATGGAGTGTCCTCATATGCCGGATGTTCTCTTCTTTGCGCTTCTTTCCTCCTTGATTCGCCATCAAGAGGGGTACCTTCCCAAAAAATTAGATATCATATTAATGAGCAATGTCACAATTAAAATAGTTGTCAGGTAAAGAGCGTCTCGCAATTATACATGGCACGTAATTTTTATAGGACTATCTACTTCTTGTTATTGTTTGCAATACACCACTGAGCCACTCCGCTAAGAGTGCCTTATCAGCTAATAAACCACCAACCCGATCCGTTAAGAGTGAAAACTTGGTACTAAAACCATGGTCCAGATTGATAGAGCTCTGGAATTCTCTAACTCAGAACAGTATACAAATAAGTAGAAATGAACAATAACATATCGAAACACTTTATTCACAAAGATGAACAGAACACAGAAAGGACACAAGGCCTATGGACCATTCGAGATGCCCAATCTCCTAACCTAAACTCAACTGAATACTTGCCTACTTCTTTTTCCTCCCCTCCCCTTCTATTTATACTACATGTACATTTATTATTATCTACATGTACACTTATTATTATCTACATGTACATTTATTATTACTATTATTTATATTAATAGCCTAATAGGCCCGATTCCTATCAATACTCTCCCCTAAACATCCACCTTGTCCTCAAGGTGGGTGATAGGGAACAACCATGATCTTCCACTTTATTCTTGCACCTCTCCTCTCCCAGTACTTGACTGGTTGCTGGATTAAGATCTTCCATACTTGAATCTTCCTCCTTCCTTCTTCTAGCAAAAGCCTCAATAGATCCCCTATCTTAAGCGTATCATTAGCACTCGGGTGGCTTTGTTCATGCTGGAATTGAGTTTTACCAATCTGCCTAATCACCAACTGCTCAATCTTCCAATTGCTAACAACTCTTGCCTCATAATATGACTCAAGCTCTTGGATTTCAGTTGCTCCACTCCTTGAAGTTGTAGTATCTGACATGAAGTATTCCCTGGGACTAATAATAACAGTAGGAACATCAATTAACTGATCAACAACAATGGCATATTCAATTTCAGAGTTATTAAAGGAAGCTTTCCCATAGGAATCCTGTAATTCAGAATTGATAGGTGCAAACAATGACATGAATGGTGCAGAACCTACTGTTGTTTCGAATATGGATAAAAATCTGGCATAAGGAAACTCTGCAATATACTCTTTGCCTTTTGGACAGACTGACTTACAAATATCATCATCTTTAATCAAATATTTGGAAGAGCCTCTTAGTAGGGCAATCATAGAAACTGGATTTCCATTATAAATCACCCACTTAGGACCAACAACAAGAGGTCCAATATAGACTACACCCAATGTATCATCTTTCTTGTCATCTGTAGCCTTGAATCCCCTTGATTCCTTTGTCAAGTATCTGTGACTATCTGAAACTAATAGTCACAGACTACACCCCTATCCGGAACAAGTATACAAATTAATGGCATTTCCCTAATATGTCCCTTATCATTCCCAGTCAATCCTACTCCCAACCCCTTTCGGATATATTTCATAGAATTCCCACTGTCAATTTTGAAACTCTCAAACTGACTCAGCCCTTTCAACATTCCCTTTGATGAAAGGTGGTGCACAAAATCATTAGAACACCCAACTCCAGTACATTAACTCTACCCATTGCAGATATAAAATATTTTGGGTATTGGTCTAGTGCACTAGCATATCATTTTGGGACATGGAATGTTAGGTCTCTTACAGGGAAATCTTCCGAGGTAGTCGAGGTTATGAGCAGAAGGAATATCAACATTATGTGTGTGCAAGAAACTAAATGGGTTGGACAGAAAGCACGCGAGATTAATCCCGGAGGTTTTAAGTTGTGGTATTCGGGGAGAGATAAGACTAGAAATGGGGTAGGCATTATTGTGGCGCGTGACTATGTTGAGGATGTGGTAGAAGTCTTCAGGAAGAACGATCGCATCATGAGCATTAAATTGGTGATAAAAGGTGAGATTGTGTCTGTGGTAAGTGCCTATGCACCACAAGTGGGATTGGATGCATCTACAACTCAACAGTTCTGGGAAGATCTTGAAGACGTGGTGCGACGAGTGCCAATGGGAGAGAAGTTGATCATAGGAGGTGACCTCAACGGGCATGTGGGCTCGAGTCGTGATGGCTTTGAGAATATTCATGGCGGACATGGTTTTGGCACTAGGAATGAGGCGGGAAAGAACATTTTGGATTTTGCCTTGACGTATGAGTTGGCTATAATGAATACTTGGTTTAAGAAAAGAGACTCTCACCTTGTAACCTATAAAAGTGGAGCTAATAGTACCCAAATTGACTACTTCTTAGTACGGACCACTGAGAGAACTAGCTACACTGATTGTAAGGTTATTCCAGGTGAGAGTGTTGTCACTCAGCATAGGATGCTTGTGCTTGACTTTCGAGGTAAGAACCATAGAAGACAAGTTAAACAACAAGTGGAGCCAAAGATAAAGTGGTGGAGGCTAGAGGGAGATCTTCAACAAAGCTTTACACACAAAATGGTCGGTGAAGATGTATGGCGTATTGATAATGAAACACAGGTGGATGATGTGTGGTTATCAATGGAGTTGACCATTAACAAAGTGGCAAAGGAGGTACTTGGAGAATCTAAAGGATGTCGGCCACCTAAAAAGGACACATCTTGGTGGAATGATGAGGTGAAACAAGCCATAAGGAACAAAAGAGATTGCTACAAAAAGTTGGGGACAAATTGGAGTGATGAGAACATAGAAGCATACAGGGAGGCTAAAAGACAAGCAAAGAAAGCCGTAAGGGAAGCACGAGGGAAAGTGAACAAGGAGTTGTATGAAAAGTTAGACTCTAAGGAAGGAGAACTAGATATTTATAGACTTGCTCGTCTTCGTGATCGCAGAACTCAAGATATTGCAAAAGTTAAGTGTGTGAAGGATGTTGATCAGAGGATATTAATGGATGACGGAGAGATAAAAGAGAGGTGGAGGTCATACTTTGATACACTATTCAACGGGAACAAAACGGAAGATATCGGCGATTTGTCCATACCAGATTGTATGGTTAACCGTGATTTTGTGAGAAGGATCCAAACAACGGAAGTTAAAGAAGCTCTGAGGAAGATGGGACGGAAAAGAGCAATGGGGCCAGATGGCATACCGATCGAGGCTTGGAGAAGTTTGGGAGAGAGAGGCGTCGAGTGGTTAACAAGTTTCTTCAACATGATTTGGAGAAACAACAAGATGCCAACGAGTTGGAGGAAGAGTACTCTTATCCCTTTATTTAAGAATAAAGGTGATGTACAAGAATGTGCCAACTATCGAGGGATTAAGCTTATGAGTCACACCATGAAACTTTGGGAGCGAGTGATTGAGCAAAGACTTCGAAGGACTGTGAAGATTTCAGAGAATCAATTCGGTTTTATGCCTGGTCGCTCAACAACTGAGGCTATTCACCTTCTTCGTCAACTTATGGAGAAGTATAGAGATGCTCATAAGGATCTGCATTTGGTGTTCATTGACTTAGAAAAGGCATATGATAGGGTACCTCGAGAAGTTCTTTGGTGGGCCTTAACTAGGAAAGGCATATCACGCAAGTATATCAGCATCATCATGGATATGTATGATGATTGTACTACAAGTGTTCGCACTAGTGTAGGGAGGACTGAAGAGTTCCCTATTACTATCGGAGTGCACCAAGGATCAGCCTTGAGTCCTTTCTTATTTGCCATAGTCATGGATGAACTTACGAAGTCAATTCAAGACGATATACCGTGGTGCATGATGTTTGCCGACGATATTGTATTGATTGATGAGACGCAATCAGGTCTTAAAGCAAAGTTGGAAGTATGGCGACAAACATTGGAGAATAAGGGTTTCAAACTAAGTCGGAGCAAGACAGAGTACATGGAGTGCAAGTTTGGTGGGGGTAGAAGTAGTGGTAATAGCGGAATTACTCTGGATGGTAAGGAGATACCAGTCCGCGATATGTTCCGTTACTTGGGCTCCATAATTCAGAAGGACGGTGAGTTAGATGGAGATGTATCCCATAGAATCAGAACAGGGTGGATGAAGTGGAAGAGTGCGTCAGGATTTCTATGCGACCGAGGTATGCCGACTAGACTGAAGGGTAAATTTTATAGGACAGCAATTAGGCCTGCATTACTGTATGGCGTAGAGTGTTGGGCGGTGAAACAATGTCACATTCAAAAGATGAGTGTGGCAGAGATGCGCATGCTGCGTTGGATGTGTGGGCATACTAGGAAGGACCGCATGAGGAATGAGACAATCAGACAAAGGGTGGGAGTAGCACCTATTGAAGACAAGATGCGGGAGTTGCGCCTACGGTGGTTTGGTCATGTGCGTAGAAGACCGAGTGATGCACCTGTTAGGCGAGTTGAGATGTGTGGAGAAGAGGCAGGGAAGAGAGGGAGAGGAAGACCCAAACAGACGTGGGTTAGGGGAGTTCGAAATGATATGCTTCTTCTGGGGTTGGATGAGGGCATGACTTTGGAGAGAACTAAGTGGAGGGCGGGTATTCACGTGAAGGAGTGATCTTGATAATCTTTTTCCCTCATCTTTTTTTCCTAGTTTTTTTATCCTTATATATATATGCATTATTTGCAGCCTTTTTATTTTATCATTTATATATATATTCATCTTTTTTATATTATCTTTTCATAATAGCTTATCTTTTTATCTGTATTCCTTCTTTTCCTTTTGGTTGTGATATCATGTATCGATTCATGTTAGCCGACCCCAATATCTTTTGGGACTAAGGCTTGGATGTTGTTGTTGTTGTTGGTCTAGTGCACTAGCAAACCTTCTAGCTTCATAGGTAAGATTATCCGCTTTGCGCTCTTCGGACTCTTCTAGATTATCTGGTGAATCAATGTTTTCTGCCCCTTCCGGAGTATCATCCTTTGTCTCCAATTCGTGAAATGAAGGTGTAGATCACATCGGCTTCAACTCAGTGTTCCGTGTAGGTGGTGGAGTTCCAAGCAATGAAAGATGCGCCTGGTGAGAGACGACTTGCGAAGACGAGTTGTGAGAGTCCGCGAGTGAGGATGTCTGCGATCTTGGAGAAACGACTGGAGATGACACCTGCGAAAGACTAAGTGAAATGGTTTGCGATGACGAGTTGTGAGTTTCCACGAGTGAAGATGTATTTGAACTGAAAGAATAATCCAATGTTGAAACCCTAGAACTGGAAGAAGTTTCTCGCGGTTGAGAAGAAAACTGCTCAGTTAGTGACAATTTGGAAGAATTAGTTCGCATCTGCGAACTGAGGGACGTTCTTGGCAACCACGATCATCGTCTAGTCTGGAAGTGTTCTTCCATCGCAACTAGCTTTCTGGCGATGTTTTCTGCCATCATTCTCATGTCTGTTAATTTCTTCTTGATCGATGTCTGCTGCCTCTCCAGCGAATCCATACTATTCTCCAGCGAATCCATCCTATGCTCTGATACCAATGATATAGCTCTGGAATTCTCTAACTCAGAACAGTATACAAATCAGTAGAAATGAACAAGAACAGATCGAAACACTTTATTCACAAAGATGAACAGATCACAAAAGGGATACAAGGCCTATGGACCATTCGAGATGCCCAGTCTCCTAACCAAAACTCAACTGAATACTTGCCTACTTCTTTTTCCTCCCTTCCCCTTCTATTCATACTGCATGTACATTTATTATTATCTACATGTACACTTATTATTATCTATGTACATTTATTATTACTATTATTTCTATTAATAGCCTAATAGACCCGATTCCTATCAATACTCCCCCTAAACATCCAACTTGTCCATCCACCTTGTCCTCCAGATGGGTGATAGGGAACAACCATGATCTTCCACTTTATTCTTGCACCTCTCCCCTCCCAGTACTTGACTGGTTGCTGAATTAAGATCTTCCATACTTGAATCTTCATCCTTCCTTCTTCTAGCAAAAGCCTCAATAGATCCCCTATCTTCAGGGTATCATTAGCACTAGGTGATCGCCAGGATTACCCCGACCATGGTTAAAACCAGCCGTAGATCTCTAAATACTTTTAACCCAACATTATTTTCGTAATTAATTAATTAAATTAATTAATTAGCATTAATTTGAAAAAACTCTAAATAAATAAATAGTTCTCTAATCTTCAATTGGATAATAAATAAATCATTTTCTAATCTGTAATTCTAATTTTAATCATTATAAATGTAAAATGAATAAAAACTAAGAAGTATTTATTTATGTACTGAAAATTTCAATTAATAATTAAATATATGTACAAAACTAAAAATAATAATACACAATGACACAAAGTCACAAAATAATAAATTAAAAGTCTAAAAGAGTAATATTTATTAATACCTGGTCACCTGTAGCTGGAGGCAGAACCGCAGATCCCAGGCGCGGATTCGGAGAGGAGAGCCGGAGAGGGATGACGGCCGACGCAGAGGCGCAGGTCGGCTTGGCCCGGTGTTCGTGTCCTCGCCGCAGCTCACAGCGTCGCTCACAGGTCGGCTTCGTTCTTCACTACTTCCGTTTCTTCGCAAATTGCAGGCAGAAGGCCGCAGGTAAGGAAGTGGTCGGCTTGAAGTGGGCTGAGCTGGGATGGGCTACCTATTAATTAAACCCATGCATATAGTAATAAAAAAAAATGGACTGGGCCGAAACCCATCCCTGAATTCATGTTCATCCATCCCCGATCTAGGATGCACGGAAACGCCAAAAGGGTCTAGGTTTCCGCTTCCGAAACGTCCAGAAACCACTAACGTCCGGAAATGGCCGGGAAACGTCGACCCGCGTCTCTGCCCATTTTTGGGTCGGGTCTAGATCCGGAAACGATCTAGGAAACGCCACAGCCCACAGGCCAAAATTAAAAAAAAAAACAGCGGCCCAACCTCGCGATACTGTTGATCGTCCGCAAGGGAGAAACGAGATCCAGTTCCGTACTTCCGTCTCGCCTCCAGCCAGGCAGCCAGCTTCGCCCTTCTCCCTTCACCGATTGCAGTTGGCCTTTTCTTTTTATTCGGAAGGGATTTGTGTTGGCTTCGTTATGTTCAAAAGGGTAAGTTGCGTTGGAATTGTCGGCTGTAGTATAATACGAGTAGTATTAACTATTAAACTGTGTGGCTGTGAATAAAGTATAAACTTTAGTGAATTCAGTTGCTTTTTTTTTTACTTTTGTTTTGTTCAGTTAATGAGTCAATAAAAAAGTTTATTTAATTAAATAAATTTCTTAAAAAAGTATAAAGTTTAGTGAATAAAGTGAATTTTATTGTGCTTTTTTCAGTCCATTACTTTACCAATAAAATGTAATGGTAAAAAAAAATTATTTTCTCATCATTTTTAGATAAGCTCTATGGATGTATCTTGAAGAAACAGAATATCTAGAATTTGCTAATCTGTCATTAGATGACCGAGCCTGAGCTGGAGATTGTGTTTATTACCGAATGAATTCTTAAATTGTGTCCTTTTTATTAATCATTCATACAATGGATTACAAACAATGTTGATGTTTGGTTAATTTATTTCCTAATTAATGCATGTAAACTTGACCTATTTTAATAGTCATCTAGTTATATTACTAATACTTTAGTTTTTAGTGCGACGTTTCCTCGCCGTACTCGTACCCTTAATTTTTGAGATTAAGGTTTCCCCGTCCTCGTTTCCGTTTCCGTACCGGTAGGGTTGGACTCGGGCCCGGTCGGGCCGGCGGTCCTATATAGCTGGACCCGGGACCGGCCCGGGTAGCCACCGGGTCCGGTCCGGGTCCGGGCCGGGCCGGGCCTCGGGTTTGGTTATTTTATTTTTTTTGCTTAGCTACCCATCCCTGACCCCCCCCTCACCCCCCCCCCCTCACCCCCCACCCCCCAAACCCCTCCTAAACATCAAGCCCAACCCGGTGGAGCCCAAACAAATGAAAAAAACCAAAAAAATAAAATAAATTTGGCCCGAAGCGGGCCTTGTTATGGGTGACCCGAGCCCGGACCGGAAACCCACCGGGTCGGGCCTACCCGGACCGGTCACTGACCGGGCCACCGGTTCGGGCCGGGCCGGAACAGTGCCGGTCCCGGGCCGGTTCCGGGTCGGGCCACCCGGCCCGAGTCCAACCCTACGTACCGGTGCTACTTAGTCCCCGAATTCATAAAGTCAAAGTTATGCTCTGACCGAATTGGATGAATATATTCTAGAAGAGCATTTCACTACTCTTTAATTTAATATATATGTAGTACTATGTTATGTTCCGTTTTAATCGCAACATGTTGAATTTTACACTATTCACATGTTCTACTTTGACTACATTTTATGCTATTATTTTATAATTTTTTTTAAAAAATATTATTCAATTCATCTCATTACAAATATTCAAAAACTGATTTTTAATATTTTTTACTAATAGAATGAAGATATAATCACAGTCAAAGACGTGCGTTGACAAATGTGAAATGTTGACCGTTGCAACAAAAAAAGAACGGATGGAGCGTGCGTGTGTGTATATATATAATATTTTATATGTTTTATTAATAAAATATCTTACATATAATTTTTTCATAATGAAGTAAATTCAGTTGTTTCAGTTAAATTTTTATCATTTTCAACAGATTTAGTAAGTTGAGATCTCCTAACGGGTTTAAATTGGAAAAATGCTCAACAGGTAGAGTATCATATGTGTTTACACTTTACATCCCTAAGCGAATGCGTGGAATTTAAGAAAGGAAGAATTACCATATCCATTACGAAAAGCATCTTCTATAAACTTTGCTGGAAGAACATTGGCTCCTTCACAAACTAAGCCTCGAAACTCTTGGTTTGGCTCTACCTTGTGGCAATAGATACAAGTATGAGAAATAACCTCGAACTCAACATGTAAACATATCATTTCTCTCCTTGTATTGGGCAATTCACTTGAAGAAATAGCAAGAATTATGAGGATGCATTTCATAAAACATGTTTTGCACTTTAGCATTAAAAGTTTGAAACTTTGCAATTGTATCATACAAAGGCCATTGAGAATTAACCATTAACAAAATATTTCATCACAAATGCCGGTAGTTTTGATAGCAAAAAATGTCACCAGATAAATTTAAAATGCTAAACTACGCATGCAAAGTGAAAAATATACATGCAAAGCAAATTCCTTAGAGTGCATATAAAGGTATCACAGCCAATCGTGAATATGGTCAGGCAAAGAGAGTAAAATTGGAGATACCTACTACTCCATAGGTCTCAATTATTAGTCTCATTATTTATGCTGGTAGTCAAACTAATTCATTACAAGTGAGTTACTTTCTCAGATTTGAATTCAACTTTTAGGGATAATAGAACTTCAGGAGTAGTTTTAAAATACATAGTATGTAACTATTAACTATTAATACTCCGTACTAAATTTAGTATTACTAAAAATTAAATGGTACTCCGTAACTAACTTGAATCAACCACTCAACCCTGTAATACAGACTGTTCCCTTTAGTTTGGGATAGAGGGAGTATCATATTATTGTTGGTGGCTACTGACTCAGTAAATGAACTAAGATAATCCTCACACACATGGATAATGAGCTAAGCGACATAGTCCGAAAACAAATATGAATTGTGAAATGAACCCAAAAGAATTCGGGCAGTCTAAACATACAAACGTACATATTATTGTCGGTGGCTACTGACTCAGTAAATGAACTAAGATCATCCTCACACATGGATAATGAGCTAAGCGAAATAGTCCGAAAACAAATATGAATTGTGAAATGAACCCAAAAGAATTTGGGCAGTCTAGACATACAAATGTGCATATAATTACCTTTTAAAATAAATACAACAACAACATCCAAGCCTTAATCCCAAAAGAATTTGGGGTCGGCTAACATGAATCGATCTATGAAAAATCACTCTTCTATTCCGATCTTGGGTTTTCCTCCGTTCCTATATCAAATTCTAAATAGTTTGTGTCCAGTCATCACATATTTTGATTTATTTGACTTAGTACCCAACACACTAACCCATGAAAACACAATGTAGAACGAAAACATTTTGGGGCTCTTGCTTCCAAGACAGCTCTTTTATCATTTCACCAACCCCCACAGATCCGTTCTAGCTATGTAGTACCCAATCAACACACATTATCTATGCACATTGTAAATGAACACATCCTTAAACCAGTATTCACCACATCTAACCTAGTGCATATGAGGAGTCTATACATTATTATACTTAGTACCAAACAGTTCCCAGAAGTACCTGAAAAACCAACCTAATCCCGTCTCTGGTATCCATAGCTACAGGCATGCAAGAGGAGAAATATCCACTCGCAAAAACCCTGTGCACATCGTCCTGGACCTCCCTGGCAGTGAGGGCGGAGTTTGCTCGGCAAAAACTGATTTTTAATATTTAAGAGTTTTAATATTTTTTACTAATAGATAATGTGGATATTGAATAACGACCTGTAGACAACCTCATAAAATCAGGATTATGAGGTTGTCAACAGGTCGTTATGACTCACATGATTGTTTTTTTATAAGTAGACGTATTTATATGACACTTTATTGAGTACATGACCTTATGTGATGATTCAATAATAGTAGAAGGTCTTATTTGACCCTTTTCTCCATTTTAATTTTACCACACCTTTTTTAATAAGCTTTGACTTTCAAACTAAATATTTATGCCATTATTATTTCATTTCTTAAAGAGTGAATTACCTATATAGTATAAAAAAGTGACCAAAAAAACACAAATAGGACTACATCTTTTAAATTCTTCCCAGTAAGACTATTTATGTGTGTTTGGATAAATATACCCTTATAGCTTTTGAAATGTCTAATTAATAATAAAATCAAAAAATGACAGAATTTTCACCGACCGGAGGTGGTGGTACTGGGAGGCGGTGGGAAATGTATCCATAATTTTTTATTTTTTATAGGTTTTTAATATGTTTTATTAATTTTAAAAAATCAAAAATAAAATTTTTTTAAAATTTTAATTTTTAAATATTTCATTATTATTTTTATAATTTATTTACATTTTTTTTAATTTTTATGAATTAAAACATTTCATTATGAATTAATACCTTAGGGGTACTTCGAGCAGAAATGAAATCGTGCATGGTAATTCAGTTGGTTGAGTGTTGAAAATTTTGGATCAAGAACCAATGTTCGAATTCCGCAACGATCGTGTGGAGGTTAAAACATCTGAAATAGGTTGGACCTCAGGCGCACATGAGTTTATGAGCCTACTGTCACTTCGTTGACTGAGTCACTGTGATTTACATCCTCCCACTACCCTGTCGTGTAGGGGCGTGGGGCTCCGGGAATGAGAGATTCCACCTTTTTGGATCAAGAGTAGAAATCAATATTTAGTCCTAAGTAAAGGGAATTATAAATAAAAATTACCCCAAATAGGAGTAAAACTATGACAAAAATAAAAAAGAGGACATCTTATGTTTTTATTCCAAGTTAGATCATATTACTCCTATTTGAAAACATACCTATTTTTTTCATTCCATTCTTACCTCCCTTTAAATATGAGTAAAAGGTAGTCAAAAGTCATATTTAAATGTCTTAATTCATAATAAATTCATAAAAAATCATAGAAAGATAATAAAAAATAATAAAAATATTTATAAAATAAAAAATCATTTTTTTGAAAGTTCAAAAATTAATAAAAAACAGTAAAAATCCATTAAAAATATGGATGCCTTTCCCACAACCTGCACTACCTCTATGCACCACCACCTCTGATCATTGTAAAAAAATGCATTTTTTTCTATAAAATGCCATAAAAATGACATATTTCTCATTGAGAATACCAACATTTTCATTGAATCTGTCATAAATATGGTATTCCTAGTCCATGTGACATTTTTTTTCTCCGGTGACTGGTGGTAGTGGTGCTGGAGCGGCAGTGGCGGCGGTGATTTTTTTACGTTTTTTTAAATTTTTATTTTTTCTTAAAAAATTTAAACTATCATTTTTTAAATATTTCATTAATTTTTTAGTATTTTTATGAATTTTATTATTTTTATTATTTTGGTATGAATTAAAAGATTTCAATAGCTACAAGGGTATATTTGTCCAAACATAGCTTTCTTTTTGGCCATATTTGTGCAAACGGGCAGACAAGCTTGTAGTCATATATGCACAATTAACTCATTTAAAAAGTACTCCGTATTAGTCATGTTGGTAAACTTGTCCTATTGTCAGTAATTTCTATTCTTTAAGAGTCATTCTTGTTGTACTCACTCTTATGCCTACGTTATATCCACAAGGTCTGTGTATGTTTTTGTCTCTGTAAATTCAGTTCACGGACAAAATATGTCTTATTTTATATATGTAAAATTTGAACACATGTATTTTGTCTCTCGTTTTTGTATCTCTTAAACCCCTCAATTCAAAGTCCAAACAGCCACAACCCAGTGCCCCGCCGTCATCGTCTCCCTGTCCCAATCATTCTTCTTCCCTTTTCTACGGTCACCCTCTGCAAAGTAGGAACCTGAACTAAAGTTCCATCGCCGAGCTTGAGAGTTTTCTCCATAAAATGGTTAGAAACGGCGATGTCCCATTTACATTCCCCTCTGTAAAGCTCCCTCTTTTCTCATTTCCACCGCAGGCCTCCATCTCTAACCAGTTACTCTCAAGCATCCACCTTCCTCTCAGCAAACTCCCCAAACTCCCAAATCCATTCGCCCAAAACTTCAATCCGCAAAACGTGCTAACGAAATTCCTGCAACACACATTTCACAAACCCATCAGAAGATTCAATTCCTACCCCGGGTCACCGCTTCTCTGCTGCTCGTCACTGTCGTTGAACCAGACTCGGGAAACTGATGCTGACACGGTGGTGGCTCAGCAGGTGCAGCAGAAGAATGCTGGGGATGAGAGGGTTCTGATAAGTGAGGTGTTAGTGAGGAACAAGGATGGTGAGGAGCTTGAGAGGAAGGATTTGGAGGCTGAAGCTCTCAATGCGCTCAAGGTTTGCCGAGCAAACTCCGCCCTCACTGCCAGGGAGGTCCAGGACGATGTGCATAGGGTTTTTGCCAGTGGATATTTCTCCTCTTGCATGCCTGTAGCTATGGATACCAGAGACGGGATTAGGTTGGTTTTTCAGGTACTTCTGGGAACTGTTCGGTACTAAGTATAATAATGTATAGACTCCTCATATGCACTAGGTTAGATGTGGTGAATACTGGTTTAAGGATGTGTTCATTTACAATGTGCATAGATAATGTGTGTTGATTGGGTACTACATAGCTAGAACGGATCTGTGGGGGTTGGTGAAATGATAAAAGAGCTGTCTTGGAAGCAAGAGCCCCAAAATGTTTTCATTCTACATTGTGTTTTCATGGGTTAGTGTGTTGGGTACTAAGTCAAATAAATCAAAATATGTGATGACTGGACACAAACTATTTAGAATTTGATATAGGAACGGAGGAAAAACCCAAGATCGGAATAGAAAAGTGATTTTTCATAGATCGATTCACGTTAGCCGACCCCAAATTCTTTTGGGATTAAGGCTTGGATGTTGTTGTTGTATTTATTTTAAAAGGTAATTATATGCACATTTGTATGTTTAGACTGCCCAAATTCTTTTGGGTTCATTTCACCATTCATATTTGTTTTCGGACTATTTCGCTTAGCTCATTATCCATGTGTGAGGATGATCTTAGTTCATTTACTGAGTCAGTAGCCACCGACAATAATATGTACGTTTGTATGTTTAGACTGCCCGAATTCTTTTTGGTTCATTTCACAATTCATATTTGTTTTCGGACTATGTTGCTTAGCTCATTATCCATGTGTGTGAGGATTATCTTAGTTCATTTACTGAGTCAGTAGCCACCAACAATAATATGATACTCCCTCTATCCCAAACTAAAGGGAACATTCTGTATTACAGGGTTGAGTGGTTGATTCAAGTTAGTTACGGAGTACCATTTAATTTTTAGTAATACTAAATTTAGTACGGAGTATTAATAGTTAATAGTTACATACTATGTATTTTAAAACTACTCCTGAAGTTCTATTATCCCTAAAAGTTGAATTCAAATCTGAGAAAGTAACTCACTTTTAATGAATTAGTTTGACTACCAGCATAAATAATGAGACTAATAATTGAGACCTATGGAGTAGTAGGTATCTCCAATTTTACTCTCTTTGCCTGACCATATTCACGATTGGCTGTGATACCTTTATATGCACTCTAAGGAATTTGCTTTGCATGTATATTTTTCACTTTGCATGCGTAGTTTAGCATTTTAAATTTATCTGGTGACATTTTTTGCTATCAAAACTACCGGCATTTGTGATGAAATATTTTGTTAATGGTTAATTCTCAATGGCCTTTGTATGATACAATTGCAAAGTTTCAAACTTTTAATGCTAAAGTGCAAAACATGTTTTATGAAATGCATCCTCATAATTCTTGCTATTTCTTCAAGTGAATTGCCCAATACAAGGAGAAAAATGATATGTTTACATGTTGAGTTCGAGGTTATTTCTCATACTTGTATCTATTGCCACAAGGTAGAGCCAAACCAAGAGTTTCGAGGCTTAGTTTGTGAAGGAGCCAATGTTCTTCCATCAAAGTTTATAGAAGATGCTTTTCGTAATGGATATGGTAATTCCTCCTTTCTTAAATTCCACGCATTCGCTTAGGGATGTAAAGTGTAAACACATATGATACTTTACCTGTTGAGCATTTTTCCAATTTAAACCCGTTAGGAGATCTCATCTTAAACCCGTTTAATTGTAATCTCAAATTATAAGCCTGTCTAGGCTCTAGTCCCGTTTATGGAAAACCTAAAAGTACTGGGCTCCTCCCGTTTGATGTTTCCATCTTGTCGTGCTTACCAAATACTCCGTACTAGTTTGAACCCCTCCATTTTCTGAACCTGATCACATTTAAAATTTCAACTTTAAAAAAATAATTATGACTTATTAGAATAAAAGTCCATTTTCCATCATTTGCAATGGAGCCAAAGATTCATTATTTTTTGGCTTGAGATTATGATAGAATAAAGAAAAATGGCTTACTAAACTGTTTGCGCTTCTTTGTTATGAAGCAGTAGTCAGTCCATGCAATTTTGGACGCGATTTTCACTATGGGTCATCCGGAAACAGTCTCTCCCTGCTTTACTGCAGGGGTAAGACTGCTTACATCCGACCCCCTTACCCCACCGTAGGTGGGAGCCTTTGCGGCACTGGGGTAAATGAAAATGAAATGATGATTAGAATAAAAGTTCAAAAGTTCTACCAGTAAGTCTAGGTATGGTTAACTAGTTCACTCAGTTTATTTAAGGGACGTTTGGTTCACAGACTATAATATTAAGTTGGGTAATAAGATTAGCCCCTCAAAAGTAAGATTATCTTTAGGTGTTTGGTTCACGGAGTGGATATTACTATCATTAAATGGCTCAGAAGTCAGGACTAAATCAGAGAGTAGTCTAAAATATTACCAAGGTACCTACTACACCAAAGAATCCCAAGTTATTCTGATTACCCAAAAATGACCTCCTACAAGCTTGAATAGAACAAGGTAAATTTACAACAACTCTCTGACATTAGCAAGGGTTTATGAGATTACCTTAACCAAACACTCCATTATGGGTTACTATAATATATTCAGCTACGGTGTGATATACCTATTAGATGGGGTTTCAGAGACAGGTGGGTAGGTACCTACCATACAAATCCCAAAGCCATCTCAAACGCGGTTGGTTATTAAAATATTTTCGCATACTCGTCTGAACTCCCATTTGATTTTTTAAATGGGTTCTATCAGGATCAGGCGGTCCCTGATACCATATCATATGTAATCCTTTGCCATACACACACTCACTAATCTACTTCTGATTATTTATGTTAGAGATACCTATATCATCTTATTCTTAATTTCTTATTAGCTTTTATAAATTCAAGCTCATGTTGGACCATTTATGTAATTGTCAAGTGATGCAGGAAAAATTGTTAACATTAGACGTGTAGATGAAATAATTAACTCTATCAATGGTTGGTTCATGGATCGGGGTCTCATTGGCATGGTTAGCTCTTTACCTCCATTATCTTAAAAGGAATTGATCTAGAGCTATTTTTACTTTAATGCTTTCCCCCACCTTTTTTGTCTTTAGGTCTCGGGTATTGATATCCTTTCAGGAGGTATTATCAAGTTACAAGTTGCAGAAGCTGAGATCAATAACATAAACATACGCTTCCTGGATAGGACGTAAGGATCTAATAGATCGATAGTATTTTGAGTAAGAGCGCCACTTTTAGTAATTTCTTTTCTGATTATTCATTCTTTTTATCCAGTGGTGAGCCGACCATTGGAAAAACAAAACCAGAAACTATACTTCGGCAACTTACTACCAAGAAAGGGCAGGTTCATGTTCTGCTGGACCTTCTGCTGTTAGTTTTTTTCACTATATCAATTATTTTATGGTAAACGGCTGATTATCATTCAGGTGTATAGTGCGCTTCAGGGGAAAAGAGATGTGGAGACTGTGTTGTCAATGGGCACTATGGAAGATGTTAGCATCATTCCCCAACCTTCCGAAGGTAGTCTTGTATTTATTTGGTCCATGATCATTAGAGTTGTATTTATTTTTTGAGATTAACATGTTGATTTTTAGCAGATACTGGAAAGATTGATCTGACTATGAATCTGGTTGAGCGTAAAAGTCCAACAGGTATAAGTGCTGGTGGTGGACTTTCAAGTCGGTATGTGTTTTGCTTTACTGAAACTACTACATTTAGGAACACTCTTCTTTGTTGAGATCTATTAACTTATTTATCTTTCAAATCTATAGGATCACAAATGGGCCTCTTGCTGGATTGATCGGAAGGTAATAATGGGTGTCAGTTATTATTCCCGTGTTACTTTGCTAATTTGTTGTTTTTTAATTATTATGATATCAATTTTTTTTATTAATGTGAGTGATTTAGAACAACCAACCTTTCAAGCTTACGCTGTATTTCCATTTATTAGATTAGCATAAGAAATCCCAAAATTCCATTAGTTTCAACCATTATGGACATTCCAATGTCTACATTTCCGCATTTTCTGTCCATGAAGCTTTGCTCCAACATTTTGTCAGCTGTCACTTAATGTTAGATCATTTCTGAATTTACTTTGCATGTGTTGTGCTTATTTTGCTCCACATGTGCCATCGTTCTGCTGCTTTACAATTAGTTATTTTTTTTTTATCTTTCCCTCTATGAAGTTGCATATTATACTGCCAGTGTTTTGCTCAATCAGCTTTACTTACACGGTAATGTTCATGTCATTTTGTAAATGCAGCCTTTCCATTTACCATAAAAATCTTTTTGGGAGAAACCAAAAGCTCAACTTATCACTAGAAAGGGGGCAGATTGATTCAATATACCGGATAAATTACACAGACCCTTGGGTTGAAGGAGATGATAAAAGGACATCAAGATCGATCATGGTTCAGGTATAATTTAATCCAATACAAACTTTGGCATGTAAATAATTACAAATTGTGTTTTTTCTCTAAATTTCATGCTATGCCTAGAACTCAAGAGCACCTGGTACGCTTGTTCATGGGAACCAACCGGATAATAGTAGCCTGACTATAGGCCGTGTAACAGCCGGGATAGAATATAGCCGTCCATTCCGGCCGAAGTGGAATGGAACTGCTGGAATTATTTTTCAGGTACTGTGGTGATGCATAATTTTTACTTTATGGTTTTCATACGTGATTTCACTGGTTTTGGTTTCGTGTACATGAGTTGAATTAATGAAAGATGAAGGTTCATCATTCATGTTATTAATATGAAAAGCATAGCTATTATAAATGAACTCTTTTAGGATTTCTCGTGGTTTTAGTCACTTTTGATGCATTTTTACAGTCTTTTCAGGCTGTTTCTTTCCATATCTATTTATATCGAGTCTTCTTTTATGTCACAATATGTGAGAAGTATTCCTCATTGTGACCCAAAACAAAGTAAATTGTAATCTTCATTGGGTCAAACGAGAATGGAATTTCCGGTCTAGGCTATTAAATGGATTATTTTAAGTCCTGATTGATATCACCACATGCATAATTCATTTATCCTCTTCTATACTGTTCCTTTCCTTCCAAGAGATACGGGTAAGCCATTAGTGTAGTGTGAACCTAATAGCTATGTCCTGAGTAAGTTGCAGGAAAATGAAAAATTAACCTATCCTCTGCTGCATAACTAGACATCTTTTGGGGAGTAAGTAAACTCATACCGTACGGTTTGTGTGTAAAGTAAAACTCATAAGAGTTAAAAAGAGAGAGCAGTTTGTTGAGTAAGAGGTTTGAGAAATGACATCTCTAGAGTTACTTAACTTTGTTTAAGAAGCGAGAGTAATGAAAGTTGTTAATGATTCTATCATTCTATGCAGATCTTGGTTTATATTTCTTCTACTTTTCTCTCCCTACGAAAAGTTATCTGGTTATTTTTAATTAGTAATTCATGTTTATATTCAGTTTGCGTTCCAACTGATATTTACTTTTATTTTAACTTGTAAACTTGCAGCGTGTCGATGTTCGTGATGATAAACGGAATCCTGTTATACGGGACTTCTACAGCAGCCCACTTACTGCAAGGTAATATATCATTTACATAAAGGAGGGATTTGTAGGGAAAAGTTTTGTCTCTTTGTAGGGCTTAGTTTATATCTTGATAAATATCGTGTTTCTAAAAAGGAATAATACAACAACAACATCCAAGCCTTAGTCCCAAAAGATAAAAAAAAAGGAATAATACGTGATTGAAATGTTATGAATATGTATATTATGGTATTTTTATAAATCAAAATCTCAAATTCATATCAAGATATACTGATTTAAACTATAACCGTAAATCTCCCCCTCCAATACCGTGTGCCAACACTCCATCTAAAGCAATCCCTTAAACTCACTTTTTTGGGTGGTTTAGACCTTCACTGGCACTTTCTTTTCCAACTTTTCTGCAGCGGCAACACACACGATGATATGTTACTTGCTAAACTGGAGACTGTGTATACAGGTTCTGGTGACTCCGGTTCTTCAATGGTTCGCCTATAAAATTACTTATCCCCCTGTCATGCTCGAATTTATTGTGGACATAGCCATGATATATTCATCTTCTATGTTTCACTTTTTCTTTATGCAGCTGGCTTTCAACATGGACCAGGGTATTCCTGTTTTGCCTGAGTGGCTACTTTTCAATAGAGTAAATGCTCGTGCCTTGAAAGGCTTCATTGTTGGTCCATTCCGTCTCCGTTTAAGGTATTCTGTAATCTATATTTTTGAGCTTAAACATGTTATTTGTCCCTACACATGTTGCACTTTTTTTTGGATTCATGCAATTTTTTTGTTTGTTTTTTATCTCTGCAATATACTCCTCAGGTTATTTTCGTTTTAGCCCTACTCCTTGGCAATCTCTATTAGTGGAGTTAATGGTAAATTGGTAATTAATCTAATTATTCACGATTTTAATATACAGCTCAATGGCTGTCTAGAAATAAAATTTAAGTATCTGTTGGAGAATGAAATATTTTGTTTGTTTCGTTGTCAAATGGATGTTGCTAGAAAGTCGACGAGGGACTAAAATGAAAATAACATAAATTAGAGAAATTAAAAACATTTTGCTGAGTGCCTAACAAAAACCACTTTATTGGTAGGGGCCAAGACATACTTCAGCCATATTTTTTGTGAATTTCTCGTTGTGTACGAGATAGAGATGTATCTAAATGGATTTCTCAGCTTTCACTAAATAATCATGTGGTTTATAAGAATATGGTGCTGGTTTTGATCGCTCTTTGTTGCTGGATTGTCAACCATCATTTGTATTTTTCTGCAGTTTATCTGGTGGTCATGTGGCGGGCAATTTCCCTCCCCATGAAGCGTTTGCTATTGGTGGAACTAACAGTGTTAGGGGATATGAAGATGGCGCAGTTGGCTCAGGTCGGTCATACACGGTTGGCTGCGGAGAAATTTCATTTCCCCTCGTAAGTGAAAGGCATTTCTGCCCTCCTTGACCGTGCAAATATAAGTTTAATGACCGTATGCATCTTTTTTCTGATAAATCACTTCTTATGTTGTGTTCCAGACGGGGCCGGCGGAAGGGGTTGTATTTGCTGATTATGGGACAGACTTTGGTTCCGGTTCCAGTGTGCCTGGTACGATGCTCTAGCGCTTTTCTTTCTTTGGCTGTCGTGGTTAGGATGAACCGAAATCGACCGACAAACCTGCAGAAACTGAATCAAAATTGACTTATGTTAATCAAAACTGAACCCATCAAAACCTCACTAACTAATTCGAAATGCAAAAACCAAACCGACAAACACCCCTAGTTACTGCTAGGCTGGGCAATAAAACAGCAAAACCAACCAACCGAAACAAACTAACCTAAAATAACTAAATCAAACCACCCAAAACCAACCAAAACGATCCAACCCAAGGCAGTCAAAAGCGCTCGCCCCAGCACTTAAGCGCCCTAGGCGCAGCGAGCAGAGCCTCCGGCGCTTGGGAGAAGGGGAGGCGCACACACCTAGTTCAGGCGCAACATAAGCGCATGAAGCACATGAAGCGCTAAAGCGCAAGGAGGCGCATGCCCGGGTAGCCTGATTGGGAAAAGGCTGAGAAGTTTTTTTTTGGTTTAAAACTTTCAAAAATAATTAGCCCATATCTTTAATAACACTCAATAACACTCAGCCCATTTAAATAATAGGGTAAAACCATACTTGTCACGGCGTCGCCTAGTCGTTGACTAGGCGTTCTGGCGCTGGGGAGTTCTCATCAGGTACCCTCGCCTCGCCGGAAGAAGACCAGTCGAGCTTGGCGTCATCCAGGTGTCGTCTAGGCGTGAATTTGGTGACAAGTCGCCGCCTAGTTTGGCTCAGTCAAACGCAGGGCGCAAGCTTAAAAAAATTAAGAATAGATAAAGCCCCAACTAATCTTACGGACTTCGTTACCATCTTCGTCTATCTCAAGCAGCAAAGTCGTATAGTCGCCGGAAGTCGCCGGTCTCGCCCTCCCTCAGTCCGTCGTTGGAGGAGTAGAAGTCACCGATCTGCGCTCCCTTAGTCTGTCGTTGAAGTAGTAGAAGTCGCCGGTCTCACCCTCCCTCAGTCCGTTGTTTTTGAAGCAAACGACCCGAGACCAGTACATTCCCAAGACCAAGGTCCACCGACCTTTATTTTATCTCCTCTTGTAGTGGATTTAGTGTTTTAATGTTTTAATTAATTAAGTACTAAGTATTTAAGTTGTATACTTATATATTTTATATATATACATGTATACCGATATACGCACACAAATATATATATATATATATATATATGTTTTGGTTCAAATAAGAACATGATCTTAGGAGAGAAATGGGATTGATTCTGGACCGTTAGATTTGCTTTAAGTAAAATTCAATGTGCATTAGATGAAATTGAAATGTGCACTAGGTGAAACTGAAATGTGCATAATAAAAGGTATGATGTGATGTTATTTTTGTACCTTTTATTCCGCACATTTCATTTCACCTAATGCACACTTGAGTTTAAATTTTTATTCTGCACATTTTAATATCATCTGATGCACATTTCAGTTCACCAAACGCACAATCCAGTTCCACATAATACAATACAATGGTCTAGATTCGTTCTCATTTCTCTCATGCGAGTCCGTTCTTACCGGAACCGCTCCCTATATATATATCACTAGGTAGTTAACTCGCTACTCGGAAGTAACTCGGTCAAGGACCGAGTAGCGAGTCGAGTAGGACCGATTACTCGAGATTATTCGATGATTACTCTGCCTTGTATTAATTAAATTTAATAACATAAGTGCCAGAGATTATAGAAATATAAGTCTTAATATTATCTTAAAATGCAAAGAAATGAATAAAATGATAGAAATGCTAATGATGGAGTAGCAAAAGTCATAATAATAAGTAATGGAAGTAACCAAGTAAAAAGTAGTAGTATATTAATGAAGATTTAGTGAGGGAATACAGAAAGTAAGGAAATAAAAGGTTTGAGACTCTTCGAGTGGTCTCTCACTCCCAATATCCCAGTCCCGATCCCAAGTTCTCCTCCCATCTACTCACCACTCACCCTTATTTATTCTATTTCTAATGGGCCAGCCCACTTCTATTTAGTTGTAAGGCCTAAAACCCTATTATTGACCAATATTAAAATAACTTGATAAGACTCTAATTATTTGTAGTGTCCAGGTCCCTAACATCACTCCCCCCTTGAACTTCCACCTTGTCCTCAAGGTGGATCATAAGAGACTGATTTTGCATTAGGTTCCACCAAGTTTTCAGCTTCATCCCGTTCATATAACTGATCTTCTGTGCCCTTCTCTTCTTCTGGCTCTTACATCAAGATAAATTGATAATGTTTCATTCCACAAACATGCTCTTTGCCCCATTTGTTTCCACATTTGAAGCATAGGCCCTTCTTGCTTCTTTCTTCTAAGTCTGCTTGTGTGAACCTTTGGCCACCTTCCCATGTCTTACTCGTTTTTGGTGATTCCTCCAGTTTGTTCTCTGAAAGTGTTCTCTCCGGAGTTAAAGCAGGTGTTCTTCCCTTTGTTGCTTCCACCCAGTTCCAGGGTCTAACCCTTTTTCCTCCCTGTTCCTTCCAGCCTGTGTTGTCTTCTTCTTTATTTTTTTCTCCTGTCCACACCTTGTTCTTCTGCTCCAACAACAATGCCTTATCCATCAGTTCAGTTAACCCACTGGTCTGGTGCAACTTCTCAAGAAACCCTCCTTTTAAAATCCCTTGGTCAGCAAGTTTGAGAGGAGCTACAACCATTTCAAAGTGATCCCGGTATTCCATTACTGAATCAGTTTGCCTAATACTGAGCATAGGACCAAACAGATTCTGTACTAAGGCAGGTTGGAAACGCCGGATCAAAGCATCTTTGAAGTTAACCCAAGAATGGTCATCAGTGTGTTCATCCCACCATTGGTACCAGTTCAGAGCTTTTCCGTTCATGGCTATCAAGATTACTTCTACTTTATCCTCTTCTGCCACATGGTTGAGTTTGAAATAGCGTTCAACCCTAATCAGCCATCCATAAGCATCGTCTCCGCTAAAAAGTGGTAAATCAACCTTTCTTCCAGTTTGAAATAACCTTTCTTCCACTAAAAAGTGGTCGCTGATTCTCGTCTGATAAGGGCTGCGTGAAACTGAGTGAGTTTCATGAGATTTACCTTCGGAGCTAGAGGAGCTCACGCTTGCTGAAGTATGGCGACGACGGTTTGTGGTTGATCGTCCTCTTCTCTTCCTGCGACTACCTTGGATCTCGAGACTTTGCATCTTCTCTAACAGCGTCTGCATCTGCTCGTCCATCATTGCTTTCATCTCAGCGCGCATATCGGCCATAGATCGCTCCAGCGATATCTCCAAATTATTTATCCGTTGCTCCATGTTCGATCGAGTGAGGACCATAAAAAGGTGCAGCGATCGTAAGCTTTGATACCAATGATAATTAACGGAAGAATCCAAGTAAAAAGTAGTAGTATATTAATGAAGATTTAGTGAGGGAATACAGAAAGTAAGGAAAGAAAAGGTTTGAGACTCTTCGAGTGGTCTCTCACTCCCAATATCCCAGTCCCGATCCCAAGTTCTCCTCCAATCTACTCACCACTCACCCTTATTTATTCTATTTTTAATGGGCCAACCCGCTTCTATTTAGTTGCAAGCCCTAAAATCCTATTATTGATTAATATTAAAATAACTTGATAAGACTAATTATTTGTAGTGTCCATGTCCCTAACACATAAACATCATCTGATTTCTCTTAAGTATAATATTAGCATATTCAGCCCCATTAGAAGCCTGTGTGTATCAACCAATGATGTACCATAGTAAACAATCAATAACGTGATATTAATTAAAAGTTACGTAGTATAATATATATAGTCATATTAGTGAAAAGATTTTATTTATATCAAAATATATGTGTGTTGATACTTTAAAATAAAAATCAACTGGAGGATGGGAGGGTGGAAGAAGAAGAAACGAGAGAGGGGAGAGGGGAAGATACGAGAAAGAAGATGACAACTTATTGAGAAATTGTAGTCACAACTCTAGGGGGATAGTAGATGTCAGAAATTCCGTTTAACTTAGGTTTTGTAACTTAATTTTTCAATTTTTTAAGGGGAACCGAGTTAGACCGAGTAACTCGCCGAGTTGAAAACTTCACCGAGTTGAGAAACTTGCCGAGTACTCGGCGAGTAACTCGGAAATAAAACACGGACCGAGTTAGGTAGTTACTCAACAAGGTCAGTAGTCGAGTTGTGAGTACTCGTCGAGTACTCACCGAGCAGATAACCCATAATATATATATATATATATATATATATATATTTGCTTTTATATTATACTCCGTATACAGTTAAACAAGCTGAAGTGCTGAACACACTGAACTGCTTATATGCTCCGTACATGATTAATTTATTATATGTTATAAAATAATAAACCATTAAATTATTAATACAAATTATTATATATAGTTACGTATTATTTGAGAGACATTTTTACTCTCAATTCCCATTAATAAACTTTGTTTTCAATTATTAATTGTGAGTTTCAATTCTAATTTATATACAATTTAATTAGTAATATACTATACATAATATATTACATAATGTGCGAGTAGTCGCCTAATTGTTGCCTAGGCAGGCGCCTTATCGCCTAGGCGATATGGCAGTCGGTTGATGCCGCGACTTGACTTACCGCCGTGACAAGTATGGGTAAAACCATTGAAACCCACGTAAAACCTCAAGTCAAGTACGTAAAATCTTGAAACCTTGCGTAAAACACTAAGCTATCATCGCTAGCCTGTTAGAGTCTCAGGAAGCCAACCTCTTGATAATAATAATAATAATAGTATTAGCTATTATGATAAAGTGTATTCCAGAAGGAAAGGGAATAATAAGTAGCTAGCTGAATTGTATTTGGGGGGTCGGGTGGACTTCTATAAATAGATAGCTAAAGGAGGAATAAGGCAGGTTGTTATTTGGTAGTTGGCTGGGACTGGAGAGTTGACATCTCTTTAACTGTCAGGACACTTTCTCTCTCTTTTCTGTTGATCGAATAATAAATCCTATTCACTGTTCATCTTCGTTCCTACTTTTCTGCTAAAATTCTCTGTCATTCAGTTAGATAATTAACATAGCCATCATCGCTCTTCAGTTTACTCACTCTTCTCACTCAAGCTTCTCTACACCGGGCAGTTCTTTCAGTTTTCTTCATCATCTCAAGCAAATTCAGTTCTCACTCACAGCACTAAGCAAGATATGTGTTCTTTTTCACGCAGTCCCCTTCATCCAAATACTCATATAGTATATTGTTATGTATATAATAAAGTACTAGTATATTACTATGTATATAATACTCTATATTGCTCATATTAAAGTAATAATACTCTGCATTACTCTATATTACTCACAACACTAGTATATTGCTATGTATATAATAAAGTAATAAAGTAATAATACTCTAATATTACTCACAGCATTAGTATATTGCTATGTATATAATAAAGTCATAGTACTCTGTATTACCGTATATTACTCACTGAATTTGGTGTTTTATTTTTGTGACTCATGACTTTACTTTGGTGAATCATGGTTTTTTTTATGCATTTGGTTCAATATGATGTTACATACATCATGGTAATTATAGAATAGTATATGTGATTTTATCTAAGTAATGCGCTTCACCCGAGTCAGGCGAGCGCTTTATTTGCGCGAAGCGCCTCAGCCGCTGGAAGGCCCCTAGCGCTTCAAGTGTGCCTTTCGACTTTGACTACCTTGATATTCCAACCTAAAATGACTGAATGACCACCAACACCGAGTTAAGTTGCTCGGTTCATTTTAAGTTTTGCATTTCTCAAAACTGGACTGACATTTCAGTTTTGCATTTTTCAAAACCACTGACAAGTGATAAACACCCATGTTCTTAGGTTCACTTCTGAACTTGTGTTATCTTTGAGACTTTGGTGCAATATAACATTAACTTCTAAAATGACTGAAGGAAACCGCCAAAACTGACTTGAGTTGTTCGGTTCATTTTTTAGTTTTTGCATTTCTCAAAGTTAAACTGACATTTCAGTTTTGCATTTTTCAAAACCAAACTGACTAGTGATAAACACCCTTGCTCTTGGGTTCACTTCTGAACTTATGACATCTTTTAAACTTTGGTGCAATACAACATCAACTGATTAATGTGACAAACAATTAAGATGAAATGAATATAGTTTTGGGAAAGTTCCCGAAATAGTAGTAAATAGGTTTTGGAGTTCCAAAAAGGACGGCTATATTTTTCTTGCCGAAATAGGAGTCATCACTGCCATAATTGAAAAATACTATCATTAGTGACAATAAATACTGCTATGATATGCCTAGTACTGCAACTATTTTGGCAATAATGACTCTAAGATGGTAGTAACTATTGCCATGCTACTCTTATTTCGGAAAGAAAAACATAGCAGTCCTATTTTGGAATTCTAAAACTTGACTTTTAGTTGAAGTGACTTTGTCTGTGAATGTGTGATTTCATTTCCATTTAGGCGATCCTGCTGGGGCGAGGTTAAAACCTGGAAGTGGCTATGGAGCTGGGCTCGGCATTCGCGTAGACTCGCCTTTGGGGCCTCTAAGACTTGAATATGCCTTTAATGACCAGGGTGTTGGCAGGTTTCACTTTGGGGTTGGCCTACGCAACTGAGTGTTAAGTGTCTTTACCTATGTTTCTTCCTTAGCGGAGTGTACCAATTCATTCCATTACTATTTCAATCCATGGCAACCTTAGAGTTTTCTTTCACTCACATTCATTTTATAGTTTGTGTATAGCACTTCTTACTTTCTAGGAACTAATAGCCCGGTGATCCTTCCCCAACCCCTTCCAAAAGGGCCACTGGGAATCCAGGATCGGATCCTATAATCAACATTCAACACCCAAGCTTTTCCTGTAGAACACATTGTGAATGTGGTTCTATTTTGAGTTCTTTTTCGCGTCTCACAAGATCTACCCAAGTGCATTGGAATAGAATGATTGTAGTCATGCTAATTGGATGCTTTTAATTCCATTGATTCGTCTAAAACTTGAAAACAAAATCATCATGGGTTCATTGATTGTTTATGGTATTATTGCGTTTATTCGTCTAATTGGATGCTTTTAATTTTGGTTTATTGCGTCTCCATCCAAAAGTATGCTGCTTGTAACCATTAACTAAAATATGGCGGCTAAGTTTTTGCTAAAATTGTTTGTTCAGTGCTGAACTGCTGATAACTCTAATGATTTGAATATAGTGCAGTTATGTCACCACCGGCTTGAGGAGTTGAGGTGTGATTTGAATATACGAAGTAACATGTTAATTCATAAGATTTGGTCTGGTTCATTCAAGTATGGCACTATGGCCTGAGATTGAAACCAGTCTAACTAATATTTTTAATAGAAAGAATGACCCAAATATTACTTCTAGAAATTTAATAGGCATAAATATGACTAATTCCCAAAGCTTGTGAACTCTCGTCTACCTCACATGTCTTCGTAAAAAATGGTATTGCCTCTTCGCCTCTTCTTGTTCCCTCTACCTTTTCTTCTCCTCCTTTTTTTTGCTTGCATGTGTGATGGAAACTTGGGATGGATTGGGATGGGCCTACCTATCCCTCTACCCAACTCGGCTTGCCACTGCGCAGACCTGGCCGGCTGGCCCAGTTGATCGAGACCATGCCCAGGGCCCGATTCGAATGAAGCAGGTGGTACCGAGATCCTATTTTGGTGGACTGCCTAGGTTGGGCCCAATGGTCACAATTTTTTTCTTCCATTAGTTTGGCTGCTAGGTGGGGGTGGGTGGGGGTGGGGGCAGGGGTGGATCTAGCAATGTCAATCAAGTTGGGCCAAAATTTGATTAAACAACGTATATTGCAAAAAAATGTCAAAACGTAGTAAAACTCCCTCCGTATTTTAATGGTTTGTCAAGTTTGATCGACACATAGACTAATAAAGTAAAAATTATGTGGTGGAGATTTGTACAAATGAGAGAAATAATAGGAACCACAAATTGATTGATTAAAAGGGAAAATGGCAAAGGTTTTGGGACAATAAAAAAAGAAAGTTGACAAAGTTATAAGGGAGGGAGCGAGTGTTATTTAACAAAATTTATTTTCAAATATAAAATAAAATCTTTTGCAACAAAAATGTCAAAGGCAAAAAATAAATATAACAGGAATAATAATTTTTGTCGAAGACAAAAATACCTCAAACGCATACATATTAAACTAATTTTTACCTGCCAAGCCCAATGAATTGAACAAATTATGTTTTTAGACTAATACTCAAAAGTTCAAGAACGTTCACAATATTAGTATCTAGCTCATTCACCGTTTGAGATTGGTGTTAAACTTGTATCAGTTAAACTTAAGACCAAGTTTAAATTTATATGTTTGAGGAAGAATCCTTTTATTCTTCTAGGGTGAGACATAGTTTTTAGAAGTAAAAAACTGAATGTTTACACTATTGAAAAGTTAAAAAGACATGCTACGCATACATATTAAACTAATTTTTACCTACCAAGCCCAATGAATTGAACAGATTAATTTTTTAGACTAATACTCAAAAGCCCAAGAACGTTCACAATATTAGTATCTAGCTCATTCATCGTTTGAGATTGGTGTTAAACTTGTATTAATTAAACATTTAAACTTAAGACCAAGTTTAAATTTATATGTTTGAGGAAGAATCCTTTTATTCTTCTAGGGTGAGACAGAGTTTTTAGAAGTAAAAAATTGAATGTTTACACTATTGAAAAGTTAAAAAGACATGCTGTAACTGGGATTTGAAGAAGGGACATGCAGGCCAACACGACAACCTACTCCCATCTTGCTAACATGGAATTTATGTTCAAATTGACTTTCTTTGTAATTATACCATTATTTAAGAACACTACATATAATACATATATATACTACGGAGTAGTATTTTTTTTTCCAGACTAATACTCAAAATTCCAAGAACGTTCACAATATTAGTGTCTAGCTCATTCACCGTTTGAGATTGGTGTTAAACTTGTATTAATTAAACTTAAGACCAAGTTTAAATTTATATGTTTGAGGAAGAATCCTTTTATTCTTCTAGGGTGAGACAAAGAGTTTTTAGAAGTAAAAAAGATTTGAACAAGGGACATGCAGGCCAACACGGTAGCCTACTTCCATCTTGCTAACATGGAATTTATGTTCAAATTGACTTTCTTTCTAATTATATCATTATTTAAGAACACTACATATAATATATATATATATACTAGTATTTTTTTTGAGGTTGGGCATGGACCCTCCCTGGTTTACAGCCTGATCCGCCCCTGGCTCGGTGGGTGGGTGGTTTGGAAGGATTTGGGGGGGGGGGGGGGGGGGGGGGTGGGGGGAGGGGGTGGAATTAATTTTAAAAAAATAACAAAAAATAAAATAAGTCCGGTCCGACTCAGGCCTGGATTGAGGCCCGGTCGGGTAGCTCGAACTGGACCCGATACCGCTACAAACTGGGTCGGTATCGGGCTTGATAATCTTTGACCCGCAGCCCGCCCGGGCCTGACTCGGCCCGTCCCAGTCCACCCATAATGGAAACTATGGTGAATGATGTTTTAGGGTTTCGTCGACTAGATGGAGACTCAGTGATGGTGGTTATGGTTCGGCTAGAGTGTCTGATTCGAGTGGTGGATTGAATTCGAGTGCTGGAAATGGCGAATTCGAGCGGCACCTCAGGGTAAGGATAAAGGAGGAAGGCAGTGGCAAATCTAGACAATATGGTGTGGTGGTGATGAGGTTGATAAACCCAGATATTTAACAATCAAACAATCTAAGCAGTTAAAGAAGAAGCAGATAGAAAGATATGTCGATATTATACACGAATCTGGTATACCATATGAAACCCCGCTGCTCTCCGTCGAGAAGGAGAGCAGCGGAAACCCTTCTTTCTATCTCTCCGCCTCTGCGTCTCTAAAGCCTCTTTCTATATTTTTTTTGGGGTTCCCATAAGTTAGTCTCCTTTTATAGGAGAAATTAGCTAACTTACGGGTTACAAGGAAGCCCCCGGGCTGATACACATTTGTGGCCCGTATTACACGTTTAATTAATAACTACACAAATACAAAGATATTTAATTAGATTGGACACCAAAAAATATTCCTAACAGAGGTGCTGGTATTGTCGGCTCAGGTGAGACTAGCGGTGGGTGTGGCAAAGGGTAGCGCTGAGGCCTGCGTTGGGTTGGTGGGGCAGGGATGAGATGGTGGAGGATGGTAGGCGAGGGGGTGGGGCTATGATTGGGGTTGAGCAGGGGCTAGAGAGGGAGAACGGGTGGCCAATCAATGGAGGTCGCAACAACGATGGTTACCAAAGGGACATGGCGACAACGGTTGTCACCGGGAGGGATGAGGCTGGTAGCGAGAGTGGTCGTTGGAAGGGACAAGGCGACAATCATTGAACGGGGTGGGCGATGGTAAGATCATGTTGGCAATGTCACTATGGCTGTGTCACAATGGTCAGAGTCACAATGGCTGGAGTCCCGGAGTCAATGGGTCACTAAACTATGTCACAGGAGGGTAGGCGTGGACCTAGCCCGACAGTTCGATCGGGAACCAGGTTTTGGCACTGTTTGGGACCAGACCATGTTTAGAATTTCAGGTTTCATGCTTGGGACCGGCCTTGTCCGCCCAAGAGCGGTTCACGGTCTTGGCTCACCTCTCTTGGGGATCGGACCAAGCAGTTCCGATCCGAGACTTGCCAATTATTTTAAGCTTGAGACAATGTAACACCCCCCCATCCAAAAAAAAAAAATAACGCGTTCGGGTCTGGGCCACCCGTGTACTCAAAACAGGGTCGCCCGGGTACCCGGAACTAGCCCAGACATGGAAAATAACTTGTCGGTCCTGAGCCGACCAATTTTTTTGGACTGTAGAAATTGCTAGAATATAATATCTATTGTAACATTATTGCACTAAGAAATGCTATAATAAACTGATAAATTGCTACTATACATCTATTGTAACATCAATTAGATGCAACATACTAAAAATGCTACATTTGATTTATTGTGACATTTTTTGCACCTATCATATGATTTTGCATATGTTATAAAAACTATACTTTGAACCCTTTTGATAATACTCAAATCGGCTGCATTCACTTGTTCTGATGAAATTTATGAAGTTTTGGTTGAAGTGACTGATTTGCTGATTTATGAAAAAAATGTATTTTAAAATAGATTTTATTAATTAAATAAAGAAAAATTTATATGAAACACATAGTTTTCATAATACAATCATAGCTCTAACATTATTTTTTCTTAACATTAAACAATTCAACGCCCAAAATAAAAAACGGAGAACTATCAAATAAGCCCTCGAACTTACATAAAAGTGCAAATAAGCCCTTTTATAGGAGGTTCTGTCCGGCTGTCGCCATTTGGGGCGGTTCCCTGTGAAATATTTTGATATAACTTTATGAGCATCTTATTCATCAAGTCTAGTTTACTCATACCAAATGTCAGCTAAAAATTCAATCAGGAAGGCAGTCAAATGATTTTTTTAAGATACCCGCGAAGTTAGACAACACAGTATATTTTAGAAAATCATTTGTCTGCCTTCTCGGTTGAATTTTTAGCTAAAATTTGGTATGGGTAAACTAGACTTAATGAAGAAGATGATCAAAGAATTTCATCAAAAAATTCATCCGGAAACCGCCTCAAATGGCGACAGCCGGTCAGACCCTCCTATAAAAGGGTTGATTTGCACTTTTTATGTAAGTTTGAGGGCTTAGTTGATAGTTCACCCAATAAAAAATTACGTGTTTGATGAAAAAATTGACTGATAAACCTGATAAGCCGAAAAACATAATTCCCAAGTACACATTCTCATTATTGCAGTTGTAGTAAAAAAATCATAGCTGTTGAAGGAAATTATATGTTGTGTGCTATCGTTTAGATAGAATATGTATTAGAGTCTTTCTATGTAAATGATGTATATGGGCCTATTGGCCCGTACTTGTAAACCTTACTCTATCCCTATTTTTAGGAACTTTTGGTAATGAAACTGTACGAACCATTCTCCCTCACGGAAAGCTCTCAACTCTAAAAAAACTTCTCTCTCTCTCTCTTCTCAAGAATTTTTTTCA